CTCTTTCCCCCACAATAACACATGTGGAAGGACATATCTCAGGTGAGATCTGGAATCTCAGGTGAGATCTGGAAATACCATGTGGAATCCAACACACAAAGAAATAAGGGAGGGCAGTTCCGAAGCAAGGTAAAATTGTGTAGAGTCATCCTTGTGGAAATGAGAGGTGAAGATGTGTAGGTGAATGAGATGTCTCAAGAGGAAGAACACAGACTAGAGAGAAGCATTAAGGATTTAGGACTGAACCTTGAGGACGTACAGGGTTGAGAAAGATAAGCAGCCTTTGAAGACTATAGAAATGATTAGGAAGGTAAGAATTGACCTTATACTTACTAGAAGAACTTTGAGGCTTTGGATCTACCACAAAAGGACAGTAATACTATTTAAAATTTATCAACATGATATGCCAATAGATATTTCTGGAATACTGTTCCTCAGTGAACAGAGATGATTTAAACTTCTTTGTTGCTGTTTGAATTGTGGCTTTATCATAACTGGCTCACCATATTTACATTCCTGCAGGGCATAATTCCTTCCTGGGAATGACTCTATATTCAGGTACTACATCAGCTGCAAAAATTCTGCCCAAGTTTGTGCCTTCCCTCTTGAGAGGAGATGTGGAGCAGTGGATAGCCCCAGTCCTCAGTCTGTAGGTGGTGAGGAAGTTCCTCCTCTATTAGCCCCTCTTTTCCAGGTTCAAGGCAGCAGAGAAGCTGTATTTGAGAGAAATCTTGCCAATGTGATTGATGTGACAGAGGCCTTCATAGCATCCACCTTTATAGGCATTCTAGAGTAATTTGATAAAATCTGCCATTTGCCAGCCTTTGGGAAAAAATACAGGGACTCTTAGTACATCTCTCACCATCACCACCACTCCAGTGAACAAGAGTAGTTGTTCAGCTGGCTAAATCTTCAGGGAATATTTAATTAAATTCCTCTTAGCTCTTCCCTAGGGCTTTGTTTTGCCTCCCATGGCACCCATTTGCTAACTTTTATTTTTGGTTTTCTCTTATAGCCTCTACTGGTTCGTACACTCCCTATTTTGGGATCCTCTACCTTTGACCCAATTGGCCCCCATTTTTACTTTTATCTTTCAGTGTCCTTTTCAAATAGCACCCACTGTCCCTAGAAAGACTTCCCTGGCATCTCCAACTGTCTTCCTCTGATTCACTTCTATACCTTGGCTAACTTTTATCATAGGACTTACTATACATTATTGAAAATATCTGTTGCTTTTTCTGTCTTCCCTCTCCTCACTGAGAGCTCTTTGGGAGCAAGTCCATAGCAGATGCTTAATAAGCATTTGTCAGTGCCTAGTAAGAATGCCTTTCACATAGAAGATACTCCCTGTGGTTTGTTCAATCAGTTGCTGAAGCTACTAAATGTTGGGCATATTGTTGTAGAATGCTCTTAGTTGACCTTCAGATTTGAATGTATTCATTCATTCAACATACATTTGAGTATCTACTATGTGCCAGGCACCATTCTCGGCACCAGGGATATACCAGTGAACAAAACTGACAAAAACCCTACCATTCGTGGAACTTATGTTGTATTGTGGTAAGTCAAACACTGAACAAAATAAGTAAATAAAATATATAGTATGTTAGATGGTAATAAGTGCTATAAAAGAAAATAAAGCAGAGAGCCATAGGCAATATTGGGACAGGAGAGTATTTTTCCCTGAAATATGTATTTCTGTGGAATTATTTTTTTGAAAGTTCAGTTTTAAATACTGTCATCTTGGAAGATGTCACTGAAATAGTAAAGATCTGAGCACGTAACAGATACTCCAAGGGAAAGATTGATCCAGGCAGGGCGGGGAACAGCAAATATAAAGGCCCTGGGACTTTACCACACTGTCTGCTTGCAGTGTTTCAAGAGGATTCCCGAGGAGACTAGGAAGGGACGATTTGGAGATGAGCTAACCATGTATGGCTTCACTGTGTAAGGACTTTGGTTTTTACTCTGAGTGGAATGGAGTTCCATTAGAGAGTTTTGAACAGAAGAGTCATATAACCTGACTTGCATTTTAAAAGGAGCACTCTTGTTGCTAAGACTGAGAATGGACAAAAGGCAGGCAAGGGCGGAAGTAGGGAGATAATTTGGGAGGCTTCTGTAACAACTGGAGAGAAATGACGGCTTGGATTCAAATAGAAGTATAATGAGTAGGTGAAAGTATAATGAGCTGGGAAAGTGATTGGCATTCTGGATTTGTTTGAAGCTAGAGCTGACAGGCTTTGCTGATGAGTTGGATAGTGAGATAGGAGGGGAAGAGGAGTGATGACTCCAGGGTTTGGGGCAGTTCTATATACTGGGGTATTTGCCCTGAGAAGGCCTTTTATCTAACTACCTTAAATTGGTCATGGCTTACATCACTCATTAGATTTATCACTATTCCCCTCCTGTAGAGTTGCTACATACATCTTGAGCACTCATATCAGGGGACTTTGCTGTTTATCTGGTAGCTGGGACTTTTACAATCAGTCAGGTACATTGGGGCATGCTCAGAAAGGAACTGAACTGCAGAGTAGAAGGCAGGGGATCTGATAGGATCATATTCACCTTCAGAAAAGCACCTTCAGAAAAGCACCTTCAGGGTTGTTCAGGCCTCTAAAAATAAGCCGAGTGAAAGTTCTGAGAAGCAAGCGGGCTGGAGTCATCTTCATAGTTCTGGCATTTTCAGTGATAACTAACATTTATTGAGCACTCTGAGCCAGATGCTGCACTAAACATTTTACCTACATTATTTCATTTAATCCTCACGACAACCCGATAAGGCAGGTACTATTATTATCCCCATTGTACACATGAGAAAATAGAAGCTTAACTTTTCTAAGGCCTCACAACTAGTAAGGGGGATCTAAACCCAAGTTGTCCGCTCCCTGCCTGTGTGTTAACATTGTAGTATAGTACCTAACCTTAGAGAAACTGTCCTGTATCCTGAGTGAAACTGGCACCAACTGTAGCCTTTGGTGGGCTTGTGAGTCTGAATGATTAGTTGACCCTCTGACTCCTGGCGGGCATTGCAGAATAAGAGCCAGCAAAGGGGATGTGGAGTGGCTAGTGGAGGAGGAAAAGAATCCAGAGGTGTGAACGTGGGAGTTCAGGAAAGGCCAGAAAACAGTTTAGATGTTGCAGAATGCTGAGAGGTCAAGTAAGGGACAGGCTGAAAAGCATCCACTGAATTTAGTAATTAAGTCATCCTTGATCTTGGCAACAGAAACAATTCCAACTGGGCAGTTTTAAGCAAATCCCTGCACCTTAAAATTGCTTAAAATAAAAATTCTAAGCAAATTTTAAAAATTTAAGCAAATGTGAAACTATCCAAACCAACTTTCAGTTTGATGGTTGTGCCTGAGTCACAACTTTGATAAGGATGAGAATTAAAGTGTTTTAATCACCTATGATATGCCAGGCCCCATTCTAACTTAATTTGAATTTTATCTTAATCTTTATAAAACTCTTGGAGGGTAGTGCTATCATCTCCACTTTACAGCTAAGGAAACGTCAGTTAAGGATCTTGCCTAAGGGGCTTCCCTGGTGGTGCAGTGGTTAAGAATCTGTCTGCTAATGCCGGGGATGTGGTCCAGGAAGATCCCATATGCCACGGAGTGACTAAGCCTGTGCGCCACAACTGCTGAGCCTGCACTCTAGAGCCTGCGAGCCACAACTACTGAGCCCACACGTCTACAGCCCATGCTCTGCAACGAGAAGCCACTGCTATGAGAAGCCCACGCACCTCAACAGAAGAGTAGCTCACGCTCCCTGCAACTAGAGAAAGCCCGCACAGCAACAAAGACCCGATGCAGCTAAAAATAATTTAAAAAAAAAAAAAAAAAAAGGATCTTGCCTAAGTCTGGCTCCAGAGCTAGTACTCTTAACTATTGGTCTAGTCACCTGTGTAATTAAGCTACTAAAACATACATTTATTATAAAACTGAAATGTTGGGCTGATACAGCAGCATGGCTGAACCACAATTCTTGAATAGCTTATGCCCTTTTATGGCCCCTTAACATAATTTCCAACTATTTTTCTTGCCGTTGCCACCCCATCACACTGCCACCTTCTATCTTACTCTTTACCTCTTTTCCTGCTTATATGCAGGTGCAGTTTTACATCATCCTCAGACACACTTCCTCTGGTATCTGCACTGTGTCACATATGAAATCAGCTGTGTCCATCATCAGGGCAAATCGCTTTGAAAACAGCCTCCTTTACAAATACACAAAATTCTCATCCACCAGTATTACCTGTTCTCTGTGCTTTTGTGCATACATACGGTCTTTTGCATTCCATCTCCTTGGTTGACTCACGTTTGTACATACGTGCAGGTTTTCTCATGCCATGTGCCACACTCCTTGAGGCCCGTTACAGACACCCTTACAGAGCCAGAGACATATGTTTCTTTATCCATTAGCAGAGGCCCTGTGTGTGCTGCTCAGCAATCAGCAGCAGTCCCAATCAGGCGGTGACTCTTAAAGACCAGAAAGATTGGAAACCTCAAGGCCTAAGAATAATTCTGGGTTCCGGGCAGAGCTTCCTATTAGGGACTGTCTCCTTCATTGCTGTTGACTATTAGGGATCCCTTCTCAATGTCTTTACTGAAAAGCTAAGTGAGGAAAGGAGAAACTGTGTTCGTCACCTGAAGCATATCTCTCTGTGATGGAATTTGAGCCTGCAGGTCAGGGGTGGCAGTGGGGGATGCTGTGGTAGCATGAGTCATATAAACTCATGTGAATGCCTGAGGTGCAGGGAAGAGACAGTACACTGCAGGCCGTACAGAAAAGGGGCAGATGTTTATATGAGCGCATGTCCATTTAAGACCATTTTTATGCTAAACTGAGGAGTCTGTTGTGTCAGACTGGGCTGAGCCATAAAAGTTCTTGCCAATCTATTGGAGTCATCCAACATGCAGGATTATTGGGGCCATGGGAGCTATATTTCTGATCCCATGGTATCATAAAAGGCTACACGCCCATCTTCCTCCCGATGCATGAGGTCCTTGTTGTCTGCAGCAGTCCAGGTGAGATGTGAGGGGAGGCAGTTTTGCATTAGTGGTTAAGCTAGAGACACCTGGGTCCAATGGAGATAACACTATCTACTTCAAAGATTTGTGAGGATCGAGACAGGGTCTCAATGCCTGTAAGACAATGCATATACATTTCTGAGCATGGTCTGTAACACAAAGTTAGCCATAGTTAGTAACCAAATAAACACGTGTGCTCTCTACAGCCGATATCTTGACTGAGATCTATTATTATTATTTTTTTAAATAGTGTCCTCCCCCCAACCCCATTCTTTTTTTTTGTGGTATGCGGGCCTCTCACTGTTGTGGCCTCTCCTGTTGCAGAGCACAGGCTCCGGACGCGCAGGCCCAGTGGCCACGGCTCATGGGCCCAGCTGCTCCACGGCATGTGGGATCTTCCCGGACCGGGGCACGAACCCGTGTCCCCTGCATCGGCAGGTGGATTTTCAACCAGTGCACCACCAGAGAAGCCCCCCCAGCCCCATTCTTCATCAGACAGGTAGCTCTCCATTGGTTTCTTCCACTGCAAGACTGTTTCTTAGTTCTGGGAGGTTGGGTAGGACATCCCTTCATTGGAATGGACATCCCAATGTTGGACATCCCTTCTTCCATTGGTTTACTTATTTTTACTGGGGGAGACAAGAATGGGCAACACAGGGAATTCCCTGGCGGTCCAGTGGTTAGGACTCCACACTTTCACTGCTGAGGGCCCCGGGTTCAGTCCCTGGTCAGGGATCTAGGATCCCACAAGCCATGCAGCCCAGCCAAAAAAAACCAAAAAGAACTGGCAACACATAAAAGCATTTCTCTGCCATATCTGGCTGACCAGTACAAAAGTATCTCTATTCCAACGTACCTTTTCAACCAGTTTTGTATCTTAGTATGTCCTTTGTCCTTTCAAGTTGTGGAAAAAGATAAATATTAAAATCAGTATTTTGGCGGACTTCCCTGGTGGTCCAGTGGTTAAGAATCCGCCTTCCAACGCAGGGGACATGGGTTTGATCCCTGGTCAAGGAACTAAGATTGCACATGCTGTGGGGCAACTAAGCCCACGTGCTGCAACTACTGAGCCCGCACGCTGCAACGAAGATCCCGCATGCTGCAATTAAGATCGAATGCAGCCAAAAAAAACAAAAAACAAAATCAGTAGTTTGCAGTAGAAAATCCAATTGACATTTGTTTTACCTTTTGTCATCCCAGCCAAAGTTAGATAATAAAATGGAACTTTAAGAACTGACCTCTACTAAACACACCATACCTTAAAATTACACTAAACTATCTTTGGTGACTATGATGCTTTCCTGTTCGATTCTGTTTCTTGAACTGCCTGGCTTTTTCCTGTCTTCACCTGCCTAACCCCTGCCCGTCCTTTAATCCACAAATTATTCCCCAGGATGCCTTTCCTAATGTCTCTTCCCTGAAAACATACTTTGATAAGTAAGATCCTTACTTCCAGCAACCTGTATTTATCTTATCTGCAATAATTCGCTTTACTGCAGTGTGCATGTGTGTCTATTCCTTTAGACTGGGAACCCCCTAAAAGCAGGGATTTGATCTCGTTCATCTTTAGATTGCAGTGCTTGACAGACTCAGTTAAATGCCCCCAATAAGGTGAGTTTACACCTTGGGCTTGCTTGGTGTGTATTATTAGTTTATGAGGACATCTTGTGGCTAGGTCATTTATTGTATAAATAGACTTGATCGCGTTCTAACGTTTACTTTTCCATTGATTTACCCATTAAGCAAAACATATTATTTAGGATGGTTCATATTTTATAGTTCTGTTTCTGTTTTACATCAGGGCCTTCTAGGGGATAAACAACAACAAACAACTAAAGTCATAGTTTGTGAAATGCTGAAATGTCTTCCTGGTGGGAGCATAAAGGCCGCTGAATACCTAGAGATTCTATAGTTAGCAACTAGGGAGACTTGGAGGTGGACAGACCTAGATCTGAATCTCAGTTCTGTCACATCCTGGGTGACCTTGAGAGTAAACCACTCTGAATTTAAGTTACACAAACTGGAAATAATCCCTTCCTTGATATATAGTATATGGAAAGACTTTGGCACAGTGCCTGACATGAAAGTGCTCAATAAATGGTAGTTATCTAGAATTAAACCATTTAATGCTTGAGACATCCTTTCCTGTATCTAAAAACAGACACATCAAATATTCATCCATATTATGCCTGAACACTTCTAGTGATGGTGAGAATTACGTTGCTGGATGCAGCACATTCCATTCACAGTTTAGTTCCAGCTTCTAAATATTATCTATGATGTTTTTCCTAGTAATTTAGATAGGATATAAGAAACATATTTCTATTATTTTTCTTTAAGTTTCCTTTCTAAAGATGTTTGATATAACATTTTAAATTCATTGTTCCACATTTTATCTTTCATATAATTTTTTCATTATGATACCATAAATGGGGCAGGACCTTAAAAGCAGCAATTTAACTTTGCTGGATTCTATCAAACTTTTTTCATATTAAAATAAGTTTATGGTATAAGCTTATTAATTCTAGTAATGCATTGAATTACTCAATTTCTTCCAATAAATGGTTTCAAACCATTCATTATGAAGTCATTCTAAAAAACTACTTGGTGCAAAAACTAGAGAACATCCAAATTAAAACTATAATGGGTTAACAGATCACAAGGACCAGCTGGCTTTGTTGGTGCAAAATTTCTAAGGAGACGTTAAGAGATGCCAGGTTGTTGTACACAGGCTGAAAAGCTCAGACGGAATGTTTGATTTCTGCAGAGGAGTGGAGATTAAGAAAAACTACTCCTGTTTTTCCCTAAATATTCCTTTTTATTTCAAAACAGTTTACATCAGAGTTAATTTCTATCAGAGAGAGATTGGTAACTTGATTTTCAATTTCTAAATCAACTTTTTGGGGGTGACTTGGTTTAATCCAATGATAGTTCCTGTTAGGCTGTTTGGGCGTTTCTAATACCACCAAATCTTCAAAATTCTTTTTTTCTTTTTACACTTAGGTGACTGTTGTTTCTGCTGTCCCTGGGAAAGTGATTTGTGAAGTGAAAGTAGAAGAGCAGCATACCAATAAAATGGGCACCCTCCATGGTGGCATGACAGCCACCTTAGTGGATGTTGTATCAACATATGCTCTTCTGTGCACAGAAAGGGGAGCACCCGGAGTCAGTGTCGACATGAACATAACGTATGTATCCAAACTGTACCCCAAATAACTTTTTCCATTGTGGTAACTCATTTCAAACAACCGAGACTAAACACAGTTTGTAACATAAATAAAGCATGAGATGCCCTTAGCTGGTCATCCTTAAATGCAGCTATAGATTTGCCTTAAAATATTCCATGGTTTTAGAATCTAGAACTAGAGGAATTAATTTCCAAGTACAATATATATCAGTAATAATAAGTAATCAGTAATATAACCAGTAATAAATGGGGAATGATCTAAACACTCAAAAAGGCAAACATTCAGCTTCTAATATGCATACTGGTGGGGAAAAAAATCATCACAAACTCACGGTTTGTAACTGTTTTTCATACAGTCCTTAAAAGTGCCACATGTACAAATGTCTCATGAAGGTTGTACCGAGTACCTATAGAGAAAAGCTAGAATAAAAATCAAAGTTGAGGAAACCTTCACGTATACATCGCCATTGCCTTGTAACAAGGTGAACACAAATGTCCAGTTTTGCAATACTTCATGTTTTTCTGCAACTGCACAGACATGCTCTCATGATAAGGAAGCAGAACCCCAGATGTCAGGTTTGTCACTGTTGTGAAAATGCCTGCAGGGGTCAAACACTTCCAGATGCAAAAAATTAAATTCCCACATTAACTAGTACTGTTGCCAGTGTCCCGCTCACTAAAGAGTGCAGGGCCCGGGGATTTAGTTTCAAGACAATTGATTTTTCTACCTAAGCAAGAGAATAAAGATTTTTGTTGGAAGGGGAGGCAGGGGTTAGGGTGGGAAAGCCAACCTGATATATCACAAGGGCAATGGAAATAATGTATCAGGTTTTTAAACAATCTAAATCTTTTCTTAGGCTAACTTAACTTTCAGTCTCTCTCTACTATGGAAATAAATTGAGAGTGCAGTAAACAAATCACAGGACAAGATGCAAATGGTGTTTTGAAATTAAGACGTACAAAAAGAAGGATCTGCTTGGGCACTGGTGAGCCTATTCAGCAGTCCTTACCTTATTCCACATAAGGGTAAGACCACTTGATGACTCTGCTTTGCCTTAAGACCCTCTATTACGAGCAGAGAGATCTTCCAACCTAGCACTGCATTTCATGATCTTCTAAGATACTGCTGCTACAATCCTAAAGGATTTTTAATAAGCTAAACATAATTTTGGCCTTTCAAAGTATGTGTTACCAAAGTATTGGCCACCATCAAGAGCTGCCTGAGATTCAAAAGGGCCTCATATTAATTCCTTATAGTTCTTATTAAGTCATTTTAGAGTTGAATAAATTCTGCATATTGATATGACAAGATATTAACACCAAGTGTTACTTCACCTAGGAAGTTAAGCCCATTAAGTGAAAGCTCAAGGAAATCTCTAGCCACAAATAAATATGAAGTGGGAAACTAAAAAAAAAAAATAGGGAGGTGCGGGGAGGCGGGGGCAGTTGAAAACCCCTTCCTGTATTTTTGGGAAAAGAAATTTGTGTGCATAAGGAATCAGTAAGATATAACTTGGTCAGGACCAGCCATTCAAATTAGAAAGGATATTATTCTTAAACTATTTAGGAGTAAATAAGTAACATAAGGCTGTTATGAGATGCACACAACTTTCTCTTTTAAAAACTATTTGCTGTTAACTAAATTTAAATGTTTCTTTTCAAGGTACATGTCACCTGCTAAAATGGGAGAAGATATAGTGATTACAGCACATGTTCTGAAGCAAGGAAAAACACTTGCATTTGTTTCTGTGGATCTGACGAACAAGGCCACGGGAAAATTAATAGCACAAGGCAGACACACAAAACACCTGGGAAACTGAGAACAGCAGGGTGACCTAAAGAAACTCAACAATGAATGTCCAGAGTAAATCTGACTTGAACAAATATAATTTTCAAAATAAATTAGCACAACCAGAAGTGGCTAAGAAATATTTTCTTTGGGGAAAAATGCCATAGAAATCAAGTGGAATATAGGATAGAGTTGTCTATATTCTAAGCCTCTTCAGTTTTAGTTTATAATCATACATGATACTTGGATAAAAACATTCTTAGCTCAGAAGTGTTTTGAAAACAGGTAAAGCAAAGCTAGCAGGGCCATTCTGAGATAAGATTACCTTGAAACTAAAATTCAATATTAAGATAAAGGAGAAATACAAGTTAACGATTAATCCTTAACAAATTGTAGGTCCTTCTCAGCTCTAAAATGTTACATTTTTTTAACCCAATTTCAAGATTATGGAACTTCAAAATAGATGAACCACAGGCCACATTGGAAAATAAAGTAGACTGAGTAGTCCTCAACAAAGTTTAAGGCTAAGCACATTAGTGATAAATAGTCCAGTGGGTGCACTGCTTTTCTGAGAATTACAGGATTGGCATATTTTATAGTGGTGGAGGGAGCATACGATTAGCCCCTTTTCTAGGATAAAACCATGCAGATCTTGAATCTCCCAATCTGCAGTACTGGAAAGACCAAGTTCACAAATTGTTTAGTCCATTTCTCAAAGTTCTCCTATGGCATTCATAATAGTTGGTTTCTGCCATCAGGGGGTCTTAGTTAACATTTCATGACTGAAGATCATAAAATTCCAAAGCAACTTTGGAAACTGGAAACACAGTCAACAGTTAAAGGTTTATTATCCTTTGGTTGTATTAGAATGCATGCTGATCTGTCTGCTGAAAGGACAGAAGCAGACTTGATAGTAGCAGTGAGCACACAGGAAACCCAGATCTAGTATTTCCCACTAAAAGTAACTTGGGCTCCTTGGAGAAATACCTGATTTCAGAGCTGGGGGCTGAGATACGGAAATTACAAGATGAACATATCTTGTGCTTTGAAAGGAAGTGCTCAAGAAAATGATGAGGCATGAAAATTATACAGCACTGAAAAGGGAGTCCATACTGTTTAGGTAATAATATTGAATCAACAGCAGAGACAGGAGAGCTCTTCCTTTTAACAGAATGCTGGTAAATGTGGAGAGGTAGATATAAAATAATAACTATAAAATGGGGAAATAGGACATCACATTGACCAATTAAAATGAAAACCAACAGTGTACACTGACAGTGTGTTTCTGGATATTAACTTTAGGGGGCATAAGGTACTTACATTGGGCATTGGCCAGGATACATAATCCAAATCTAACCATGAAGGAACATCACTCAAATGTAAATTAATGACACTCTGTGTTTTAAAAAATTGGCCTGTACTCTTCAAACTGTCAAGGTCATTAAACAAAAGCTGAGGAACTGTTCAAGATTAAAGGAGACTAGAAACACGACAACTGAATGCAATGATCCTGTACTAACTATAGGGAGATAAAAAAACACATAATCGAAGATAGGAGGACAATCAAGAAAAGTGAAATATGGATGGTAAATTAAAGTTTATCATTGTTACATTTGAGTTTGATAATTTTACTGTGGTAATAAGAATATCCTTGTACTTGGGATATATGGAGTACCGAGGGGGAAGGGATCAAACTTCCAAACGATTCAGAAAACATATAAATATATGGAGAAAGACAAAACGTCAAAATGTCAAGAGTTATTTTGTGGGTGAAGTTTATACAGGAGCTTTCTGTATTATAACTTTCCCAATTAAAATTATTCTAAAATAAAAACTTTAACTCTACAGAGCCAGACAGTCAGGTTTTAAATCCTCCCCTACGCACAATGAGCGTGGACAAGTTCCTAAACCTCTGCATCTAGATCCCCTCAAGGTTGTTAGGTTAAGATAAGAGCTTAGAACAGTACCCAGCCATGATAAAGTGTTAATTTCAAATAGATTCTAATTTTAAATTGATCAGAAAACATGTGAAAAATTATTCTGAAATTAAGAGTATTTTTTTCTTTTCCATGAAGCCAGGCATAAGGCCAGGATGATCATTGTTAAAAGCTGACAAAATGTCCTTGATTCCCATACCTGTTGAAATTATAAACCCAACTTCTCTTGAGTTTACTGTTTAGCCATGTTTATAAACCCTCCTAAGGTCATCAATAACGGGTACCCAAGCGACTTAGAAGAAAAGTTACCACTTCAAGTTTTGTGTATTCACCTGAATAGTCAGGGAACTTTCACCTATTTTATTTAGGTTTTCATTTATTCAAATTCCAACCAGAAGCTAAATACAATTGGAAACTTGTAAGCACTAAGTTTTACTCCAAAGGAGTAGGATCATTCAGATTTACTCCGATAAAAGTATGCAACCCTTAAGCAAAGCTTTTCTTCATTTAAAAGAAAAATAAAACCAAAAACCAAAAAAAAACTATACAGTAGTCTTTCCTTATGTTCATTGCACAAAATGAGTTCTCCTTTTAGAACTTTTGACACTCAATGGTGTTTTTGTATGTTTTCACAATTTAAGATCCAACTTTAGTAACTTTTCTTCTTCAAAAAACCCTAAGTTTTCCTTTAGGGTGGTGTAAAAACCAGTATTTCTGCACAACTCACTGGAATTTTTTCCTTTATAATAAAAATCTTTTTTTAAAAACAAAAAACAAAACAAAAACCAAAAGGAAAGTCCTCTACCTATTATGGTTTCTGCAGCTATGAATGTATTTGTTTTATAGCTGCTTAGCTACTTCAGACTCCAGATCTGCTTTAATGTGTACAACTGAATCCACACTCAGCAGAATGCTCTTTCATAACAGCAACTTGGGGAAAGAGATCTGGAAATAAAATACATATGAGTACCAGGAAACAAACATGGCCCAGTAATATATGAGGCAAGAATGCCTACAATGAGATGCTTTTTTCATTTAAGATTTCTTTCCCATGGTTGTATTTTCTTTTCTTTTTTTTTTTTAAACAACCACTTCTGGTCATTAGAATGAATCTGACAGTGCTCTGGAACAATGTGATTATAGCAAAGCTTTAAGTTTTTAAAATGTTATTTATACCTGTTACATTCACTTCTCACCCTCCAAATACTGATGACAGATGTCAAAGAGGCAAAAACCAGCACAAATGGAAAGACTATAAAAAATGAGTATCACCTTGTGCTTTCAGATACATTTAAGCATTTCAGTGTACAATAGTCCTTTCATTTCACATTTTTAGTAAGATGCTGATGCAGTGCAGCAAATATGCAAAGCATCTTCTTTCACACAGTCTGTGCAGAAGACATCTAATTTAAGTTCTGAGATACAAATGATAAAAAAAAAATCCAGGATGAACAAGTTTCAAAATGCATAGTGTTCTGTGCATGAGTCCATTTTCTTTAAACTCTGAAATAAAGTGGTAAGAAAAAAAGAAAAAAAACTGCTGCTGCACCCTCTGATCTTCTCCATTTTGCTGGTCAGCACTCTATTCTGGCATGTAAGGATGGAGGTGATCCTCTATGGTGCCAACTGCCCAGTGGGTAAGCTGCTCCTGTGGCAGGTAGAGGCAGATGCTGCATAACTTGAAGATTGTAGCTTTGTTTTTTGGAGTCTGGAAGGGGAAAATTTTTTTTTAAATATTCTTAATAAATAAAGACTTTAACATAAATGACTGATTATCACATGAAATCCATCTCCCACAATTTATTAAGCACTTAATGGACACAGTAACAAAACATATAGAATAAGGGAAGAAATTATGGTTCCCATCCATAGGGACCTTAGCCTAAATAGGACAGAACCTTGCCATACAAAATATAGAGAAAACAGAGTAAACATGATTATAAACTAAATGTTTACAGAGTTTATGCAGAATAAAAAATTGAAAGTTAGGAAAGTCAAACACAGACTACTTGCTGAAAGAAATCAGGGTTAAAAGCATTTCATGGAGACAGATTTGAACAGAGGTTTGCAATCACATTTGTATACAGAAAGACAGCAGATGTGGTGAGAGTAGACGGTAGAGAGATTAGAAATAGGTAAAAAAGATTTAAGTGTATCCTGGGGGAAAGGACTAGAAGGCCAAAGTATTAACAGTTAAATCAAACTCTAAGTATTTTTTAAAAAGCAGTTACTATTTTAACATCTAACATGTGATAAACAAATGCTATAGGTGCTTTCACAAATAACCACTGCTAGTAAGTGGAAGATGAAATCTGAACCCAGAACTGCCTTCAAGGTTTTGCATCTTTTCGCTATAGCACCTCTTTAAAAAAAAAGGTGAAAAGATTGCCTCTGCCAATGTCTGAAGCAGACTAGCTACCTACATATGTAAATGAACCTATACATATATATTTTTTTCATTTTAACTTTTAAAACAACCTATGACTATTCAGACTCTAGGCATGTGCCTCTATGCCACTGCACATTCAAAATTCTTTTTTGCTCTAGCCCTTATCATATATATTATATTAGGATATAAAGGGCAGAAGATCTCTGCTAGATGATTTTTATCAAATTTCTTAATTTCTGGATTTCCTTAGCTATAAAATGGGAGTAATAAGATCTACACCTCAGAAGACTGCTGTGAGGATTAAATGAGTTCATACACGTAAAGCTCTTAGTATAGAGTCTGGTGCATAATACAGTTGACCCTTGAACAACATGGGTTTGGGCTGCTCAGGTCCACTTATACGCAAATTTTTTTCCAATAAATATACTGGAAAAATTTTGGAGATTTGTGATAATTTGAAAAAACAGACAAACCACGCAGTCTAGAAATATCAAAAAAAGTTAAGTGTGTCATGAATGCATAAAATATATGTACAGATGACCCTTGAACAACACAGGGGGTGGGGCACCGACCCTACCTGCAGTTGAAAATCTGCAGAGTTTACAGTCTTCCCTCCATATACATGGTTCCAGATCAGCAGATTCAACCAACCACAAATTCAACCAACTGCAGATTATGCAGTACTGTAGTATGTATTTATTGAAAAAACTTCATGTATTAAGTGGACCAGCACAGCCCTAACCTGTGTCATTCAAGGGTCAACTGCAGACCCTAGTCTATTCTTACATAGGCAAAAGGTGAGTGACATTTAATATATAATTAATGTGTTAGCTTTCGACCTGTTTTATTACTTTGCTTTCAAAGGATTACATTACCATACAGTATGCCTCTCTCACAACTGGAGAAATGACATAGCCTGTAAGTGGCTTTTAAAAAAATGTTACAATGTTTCTAATACTGTATTATGAATATGACTATAATACTGTATGCCATAAAACTTTCATAATGACTCATTCACTAGCATTCGTTAGTGGACAGCTAGGCTACCAAGAAGCAATCGTATCGATTACAGTAAGGCTGTCATAAAGCAACCATACTGCACTTCTTCAATATCAATATATGGATCATTATACCTGTAAATAAATATGAATTTCTTTTTCACATTATCCTTTTTGATGTCTAATGTTACTAATATAATTAGATGTTACTAATGTAACACCTAGTGTTTTGTATCATATAAAGCAATATTGTAGTTACTGACAATTCATCTTGTAAATAAAATTCATAAACTTAGGTATCAATAAATACAGTACAGTACTGTAAGTGTATTTTCTCTTATGATTTTAACATCTTCTGTTCAGCTTTATTGTTAAGAATACAACATATGACACACATAACATACAAAATGGTCGTGTTAATCGACCATTTACATTATTAGTAAGGCTTCCAGTCAACAGACTAGTTAAGTTTATGAGGAGTCAAAAGTCATATGCAAACTGTACAGGGGTTGGCACCCTTAACCCCTGAATTGTTCAAGCATCAACTGTATACTATAGGTGGTGGCCACCACTATTATATCAATTCCCTCATGAACTAGTGGAGGTTGATTCTTCCATATAATGCAAATACAGCAACACATCTCCAGCTTATGAAGACTGAGAACAGAACCTGAGTGGAAGGAGGGGACTAAGAGCACTGAAGAACAAATTCATCTACAACTAGCAGATACCAGTGATCCCAGTGTGCCCAGGACTGACTGAGGGGTTTCTAGGACTTGGGACTTTCCAGTATTAAAACCAGGACATTCCAGACAAACTGAGACTACTGGTCACACTCTACCTTCAACCCAAATTTAGCTTATGAGCTTATAATTTTCTTTTCATTAAAAGGATTCAAGCTGTTTGCTTCATAAAACATTAAGAACACCTGACCTCGATACATAAAGAGATGTTAACTTACTTAGCCAAGAAACTCCTTCAATTCACTAGTCATTTCTATATAGTATTACTGATCTCATATATATTCACGTGAAAATGAAGTTGCTACACTAGTGTATGTTATTATTAAATCCATGACTAAAAATCTCTGTTGTGGATTCCACAATATAAGTCAATACCCTGCTATACAGTATTTTCTCAACAAGTAACTCAAATGAAAGTACACTACAGGCAATTAAAACGGAAAAAAGAGTCAAATAAAAAGTATTCACCAAGGGCTTCCCTGGTGGCGCAGTGGCTGGGAGTCTGCCTGCCGATGCAGGGGACACGGGTTCGTGCCCCGGTCCGGGAAGATCCCACATGCCGCGGAGCGGCTGGGGCCAAAAAAAAAAAAAAAAAAAAAAGTATTCACCAAAGGAAAGCTGAGGTAAAGAAGAAACTGAGAACAAACAGTAAGGCCAAAACCAAAAACACCCCACCTAAATTGTATTGTTCTTCTATCAGTTTTATCAGATGCTTCCAGTGAAATTAATCATCATCATCTTTTTCCTGTGGTACACGGGTCTCTCACCGCCGTGGCCCCTCCCATCGCGGAGCACAGGCTCCGATGCGCAGGCTCAGCGGCCATGGCTCACGGGCCCAGCCGCTCCGCGGCATGTGGGATCCCCCCGGACTGGGTCACGAACCCGGATCCCCTGCATCGGCAGGCAGACTCCCAACCACTGCGCCACCAGGGAAGCCCCTAATCTTCTTAATTCCCAGTTTTTTTATTTGTACCTACACCATAATTACTTAACTTTTTAAAAGATGGAAAATGTACAATCTTCCCAAGTAGTCTATCAGCTCCTTGAAGGTAGCAGTATGATTCCCATTTGTATTTTTCTAGTACCTTGCATAGACTCGCTCTTAAATAAAAACAAAAATGTTCTACAATGTATTTAATAGTGTACTTTTAAAATAAGTCTTAATTTAAATCACCTTCTCAATGAGGCCTTCTCTGGTGACACCATCTAAGAATTCACACCCATTTATGTAATTCCCCCTTTTCTCTTAGCACTTATCACTATCTAACTATATATTTTACTTATCTACTTCTAGGTCTCCCATAATGGAATGTCAACCCAAAAGGAATTTCTAACTTGTTCGTTGCCGTACAGTGCCTGGCACTTAGCACTCATTTGTTGAATGAATGCTAAATAAATTAAAATGATGCCATTTTTAAAAGTTAGTAACAAAGTATCGATTATCTACTATAAATTCTAAGTGATGATATTTAGGCTTAGACTGGTAAGAATAAACAACATTTTACAGAATAAAAATCAATTTGGAATACCTGGATTGCTACTTAAATTGCAAGTACTTATTTAAAACACATGTGGACCTTTTAAAAACAGATGTGCCTCATCCTTTCAGATATTTATTTAAAAGGTCTAGGCCAGTACTTCTCAAAACATAATGTGTTATCAATCACTTGAGGATTTTACTCAAAGTAAAGATTTTGATTATTGCACACTGGATTCATGACTTCTAAAAGCTCACCAGGTAGTTCTAATATGCAGCAAAGTTTGGGAACCACTGTTCTAGGTTAAGGTCAGGACGTCTGTTTCTTGGTTTTTAAGTAACTTCAAAATTAATGCCATGTTGAAGGAGCAAAACAGAATTAAGTAACATATAGAAAACAGTTTGCTAACCAATAAGCTTTTAAAATGAGCCCTTATGTGGTTTTAAAAAAAAAGAAAAGTAAAAAACAGCTTACCTGCAAGTGCTGTCTGTCAATGAAGAGAAACACTGACTGGTTAGGATTGTTGACAACAATTCCAGTCTTGTCCTTTCGGCTCAGTACGTGCAGAAACTGTTTTTCATAGTCACCGTGATGAAACTCAAATTTGGCCTAATTAAGAAATATAAATGTTTATGTGTAACCACAAACATGTTATACCACCTGAAACATCAACTGCACTCGTATGCATAGAGTTGTGCTGTTCAGTATGGTAACCAATAGAGGCTACTTAAATTTATATTAATTAAATGCAATTTAAAATTCAGTTCTTTAGTAGTACTAGCCACATATCAATATGATCAATAGTCACATGTGGCTTGTGGCCTCCATTCTAAATAGTCTCTTGAGATACAGAAGATTTCCTTCATCACAGAAAGTTCTACTGGATAGCACTTCATAATTTGACCTTTAAGAAAAACTACACCAAACTGACTAAATCCTAATACTCAATGATTTTAAGCCAAATATCATAAAATCAGATTTTCAAACCCACTCAGCTCAAGACTCCTACCTTAGTATTTTAAGCCCAATGACACATCCCTTCTTGCTATTATAATATATAAGGAACACTGTAGATAGTTCTTGGAAATAAGTCTATTTATATTCCAAATTCTAATCCCAGCTGCACATCTCACTACTTATACGACCTGTGCAAATCCCTTAACTTTTTAAGACTTAAAACAGGGCTCTAACCCATCAGTTAGTTAAGAGGAGTAAACAAAATGTAAAGCCCACATCTGAAATATGCTTCCAGTCCTCACAAGGATGAGCACCTGAGGATACAGGAACCCCTCAAATTTTTTTATTTTTATTTTTTTGCGGTACGCGGGCCTCTCACTGCTGTGGTCTCTCCCGTTGTGGAGCATAGGCTCCGGATGCGCAGGCTCAGCGGCCATGGCTCACGGGCCCAGCCGCTCCGCGGCATGTGGGATCCTCCCGGACCGGGACACGAACCTGTGTCCCCTGCATCGGCAGGTGGACTCTCAACCACTGTGCCACCAGGGAAGCCCCCCCTCAAACTTTTAAAAAACGTTTTTCTATGTATTTTTTCAGATGATTAAAAAAAAACTTTTTTTGTTATGAAGAACAGTTATCAAGTCAGTCATAATATTCTTTTAATCTTTTAACATGAGGAAGATTAACACAATCTTCCCACAAAATGTCTGTGAAGAGGCCAAATGCTAGGTGAAAACACCAGGGTAACAGGGAATTCAAGAAACCTGGAAACCTTAATCTGGTATTTAGATAGTGAACTGTAAAAATGATTATTAGGCCATTCAGTTCAAACAATCATTATTCTCCTATTATGTCAAAGACAGCAGAAAATACTAACATGGAAAAAACATCAGTTCCTGCTATCTAGGATTTTACTACCCAGTAGTTTTCCTCATAAACCGTAACGCAAAAGATGTTATGGTATCCCCTATGTACTATTTATGTAAAATGTAATATTGAATTGTACCTCTGCACAATTCAAATGTTTATTGAACTCAGAATACAAAAAGCATGTTATTAGATACTGAAATATATGAATAAGACTATCTCAACCTTAAGGGACTCACATACTGCTGAAGAGGAAAAGCACACAGAAATATAAAACCTAACCTGCTTCAAATCTTTCCCCGAATAAGATGTGGTTATTTGTAAAAAACCTAAAATGGGTTCTTACTGTTAAAGTGCTATGGGAAGAAAGAATTAACAGAGTAGACAAGAGTGCAATATTAGGAAGTGATTTTGCATTGGGCCTTGAAAGATGACAGTAATTTTCCTTGGACAAAACAGTAATGGTAAGTAATTTGGAAAATGCCGTTATAGGAAACAGAACCTACACAAACACAAGTGTCAAAATCAAGACACTGCTCAAGAAAGAAAGCCTCAAGTGTTTCAATATGGCAAACATCAGGGTGGATGGAAGAGGCCAGTAAAGTATCACACTGAAAAGAGATTTGAGTGAGACTGGAAAAGGCCTTGCCTGTATTTCTGTGGCACTTCAATTCTATCCTATTTGAATATCCAAAGATTTGGGAAGAAATGGTCCAGACTGAAAAGAAAACTCTCGTAGGTACCATGTAAGAAATAATTCCCGGAAGAAAAGTAATGAATGTTTTAATAGTGTGATGAAGAGCTAACCTAAAGCAACAGCATGAGGGATGAAGAGGAAAGAAGAGATCTGCTTTACTAGCACTTCTCTGTACTTCACAGCACTATGAATACAGTAGAACTGGATATTTTAAAACAATCTTTACTCTGGTTCCTATTAAATCTCACGACTGAAGTATTCAGATTTTAAACTGCTTCGAGTCAAAAAAAAAAGTGTGAGTTAAAGTTTACTTTTCCTTTTCTCATCTATCTTGAGAGAAGAAACTATGTTATTTTTATTTAAAGCTTTTCGGGATATTTATGTATATTAAATTACTTCAGAGAAGTGTATTTGTTTTTACATTGTTACCTTATTTACTGCAGTAGAATTCTAAAATTATAAAGCTATTACCTATATCCTACTGCTTATATTCAGTCCGTAAGTTAACGTTTTATCATTCGCGGAGCTTTCCACAGTACAGGATAGCGAATTAAACAAATCCTTTGTTTTTCTGATTGTTAAATAAGTATGCTCATATAGAAATTTACTGAAACACATACATATATTTAAAAAGGAAAAGTTAGCTATATCTAACCTAAAACTAACCATAATTAACACTTTGGTGGATCTTGTTGTACTTCCTTCCATTCATAAATATATATATATATATATATACTATAAATAAAATTAAAATCATCAACACCCAGGTAAATGCCCTGAAATAAAGCACTAGAAATTGTCAAGCACATCAAATGACAAGTCAAAACATAGCAAGATGCCAAGGAAAGTTAATTAAGAACCACTACTATACTTACTTTTCTCCTATAATGTTTTATATGCAAATCAACTCCTAGAAAAGGGTTTCTTAATTCATTTCTTATATTCTTTTGACAACCAGGGTTAAGTATAAAGTATTTTAGGAGAGTGTGTGGTGCAGGGGAAGAGATTTTCTGAAGTTCATCTCTGGGCTCCTCTATAAATAAACAAATGTCTACCTTAAAAGAGTTTCTCTGACCATAATTTCAATGACACACTGGATAGTTAGAACCACCTCATTCTCAAGAGATTCTATAATCCAAACGCTTTTTATTCTTGCATTACAACAGTCAAAAGGCGAGGAGGGACTCATGAAGTAAAACTTATTAGAGAGCATATTCCCAAAGAATTTCTTTAATTGGACCCTATTCTGAGTTTTCAACTTGCTTACATGTTCACCACACTTATTTTAGAATAAAGTACCTGAACAGGCCTAAAAGGCTCATCAGATTCTTTCCACCGAGAGAACAGGAGACAGACAATTTTTTCAATATCATTCCGAGGCCAAAGAATGAAATCCATCTCCTGAGTACAGCCAATTACATCCTATAAAAGGCCAAAAAATAAAAATAAAAAAAATTTACTTTCAAAGAAACAAAGCCGGAACAAGCAATGTCACAATTTACAGGGTTTGACTACAGAACCATTTTATAAGTGCAAAAGGTCCACTATACAGCTGACCCTTGAACAGCTTGGGCATGAAGGGCACTGACCAGAGTCGAAATTTCAGCATACAACTTTATAGCCAGCCCCCCACACACTTACAGTCCTGCATCTGTGAAGTCAACCAACTATGGATTGAGTAGTATTGTATATGTATTTAATGAAAAAATCTGCTTATAAGTGGATCCTGGCAGTTGGTGCAGATGTGTTGTTCAAGGGTCAACCATGTATCACTTTATGTCTTTTAAGAGGTTTGTATACAATCTGAACAGCTCATGACCTGATTCTAATTTTTATCTTATAGAGTCCATATAATCACTCAGTCCAATGTTTTTCACATCAAGATCTTAACTCAGTGCATGGTGAAAACTCCAACCGCAGCTCTAATTTTTTGTCTTTTCTTTTTTTTTTTAAGTCCTTGTACCATTATTTCCACTCTTCAAAATCAGAACTTCTAATACGAATCACTACCTTCTAATCACAGGTGAAATGCTATTTTTGTTGTATGCTGATTATTGAGGCCAACTAACCTCTTCCAGACCAGTATATGGTTATCTCCAGCCTCCCCAACAAGCGCACTAATCCTGGGGACCTCTTGTTCAAGTTTGCCCAGACTAACTTTCTTTCAATTAGCTGCAGAAGTTTAGCAAAATTCCTTACTTATAAGGGGCATGATGTTCTCCCCTGAAAAAGGAAATCCCAATGAACAGTAATAAAAACCACAAACCACAGCAACAATGTACACAATTACCAACATAATAACACATAAGAAAGTTATCCATGCTTTATTTAATTTCCACTTTAAAGCGATTTATGACCATAATTAACTACCCATTCTTAGGAGGAAGAAAAACCCAAGTTTAACTCACAAAAACCTACCAAAACCAAGACAAAAACAGAATTTACCCTTCTCATAGACTGGTATCGAGGAGCATGGAGCTGTACCACATCCTTCTGTAAAAGCTCTATGGAACTTTCCAAGGAATAGCTGGAATCTCGCACACCTTTCAGGATATTTTCTTCATAATTATTTGTCATGACTGGTATAACCTCAGACACTTCAAAGAGTGCTGATTTTTTCTTCTAGAAGAAAAAAAAAGGTGTATTAACCCACAGGTAGCACACTGTCTTAACACCCAGAGTTCATATTACAATGTCATGTACCTTTATTCTAACTCAGCAAAATTCTTAACTGATGTAATTTTTGTACTGAAGACACAGATTTTCAAATAGGTGGATCCTTCTGTTCTTCCCCCCAACCCCCTTACTCCTCTACCACACGCACAGGCATAAACACAGAATGTTTTAACTGCATGGTTTTATAGCATTATGGTAACCATAGCAAGTACTTAGTTTAGACAATATTTCTTAAATGCTGTGAGAAACAAACACCAGATACCCCTAAGGTTAAAAAAACAAAACAGTGATTTACTCTTGATGTAAACTCACTTAACTGGTCCTACATACAGCCAAATTAAAATCTCAGCAGTTTAAAATCAAAGCTCTTCAGACAAATTAACTGCTTCACTCCTTAAAAGGGTCAATTTCCATTACTCTTTCTGGATATTACATAACTACAAGCGTCAACATTCAAGAGGAGGGAAAAAAAAATGCCTACCAAATCTTCAAACATAGTTAAGATCAAGGGCTCATCAACTTAGGTTATAAAATTTATCAACTGCTCAGCCAACTGCCTGGATACTGTTCATTCAGAGAATAAAAGCAGGTTTTCATAGGTGTTAGAAGAGCTAGATGGTATAATCTGGGGCATCTCACAGATTAAATTCAAAGATCTAGTCTCACTACTTATATCTTGTATTTATTTCTAGTGAACCTACATTATAATGGCTTCAACTAAAATCTCGTCTTACCAATTCTGCAATTAACAAAAAAAGGAAAAAAAAAAGTAAATCCGTGATATCATTTCAAAACAAACCACTTTTTTTTTTTTTTTTTTTTTTTTTTTTTATTTTTTTTTTTTTTTTTTTTTTTTTTTTGGTTTGGGTCTTTTTTTTTGGGGGGGGGC